AACACTTAATAATAATTATTAAAGATTTTGGGCAGTACACAATATTAAACCCGCAGTTAAGGGGATGGGAAAAGGTGATGGGGTGAGGGGGTGAGGGTGGACGTGCATAAACGCCTCTTCAACGTCCAACTATCATATATCATTCACATCTAGTTTGATATGTAAAGGGGTTTTCTAAATTGTTTATGTGTATTCGTTCTGCAGAACTAGATTACTGAATTCAGTTATAACCGAATAGGAAAATACGACTCAGTTTGATTTTTTTCGCACTGCAATCCTATCTGGACAGTCGCTTTCGCACTACCCAATGAAATTACCAAGATAACTTGGTATTTGTTTTTAATTGGAAGGGGAACTCACCGTGACATATAAGTTGACACTCCGTTGATGACGCTCCGTTTAGTGCATGGAACGTAAGTTCAGTATTACCAAACACACGGCACATAGGGAGAGTTCCTGCAATCCATATAAATAATTCAATGATAGCTTGCAAGTCATGGTAAACATCCGCCCACACATGGTATTAGCTTGAAACCTGAATTTCCAACTGTCACAGCCTGTAGCACAAGGGGCCTCGGTTTATTGTCCCATCCGAACGACTAGACACTTTTTCCATGTCAGCCCCTCTTACCGGCTTTAAAATTTAACATGCTATTAGATTCATACATGTAGCCAAGAGGAAATCTCTAAGGAAGGTTAAGGGTTCGGTCCCCATTGGAAATAAGCTGATCAGGAATTTATTCAAGACAAATTTCATCATAGTTCCAAAGATTATATTTCTATGTATTTTGACTTTCTTATACTTTTCTGTTCTGACCCAAACTGCATTTCGACACACGACATAAATATGATTTTTATTAGAATACATAAATAAATCTCTATTTTAATACTTGCGTAGTAACAGACTTTTATTAGTCTTCAAATATCCTATTTGAAACGATTTCAACAATATCTAAAACCTACCTGTACATTGTAGAGGACCAGTTTGCCAGGAACCAGAAGCTAGGCAGTCAAGAGATGAATCCCCACCACTTCGAGTATATCCTGATCGACATGTATACGTTGCTATACTGGAGAAAGTCGTAGCCGGAACGTTTACAACAGCGTTAGTACCAGTTGGTGGGTCTCCACAATCTACAACTGCAAAATAAATTACACAATTTTGACGATAGAATGGTGGCGAGTTTTGAATATACGACTTCAGATGGCAGAGCAACTGTATAAATAAATAATTTTTATTGCCAAAAAATATTGATCAGTGTCTAAGAACTATCAAATCCAAGCTGCAACCTTTTAGAAGGACTATATAACAGCTCAATCTACACGTCGAGTATACCAATTTACTTTTTTGATGGTGCCAATAAAACGTGAACCAATATTTGCACCTTTTCAGGAGGGTGTTGATAACAATGAGATCAACCTTTCAATAAACAGCTGACCTCACAAAAATAATTATATATGTATATCGAATTTGCTTAAAACCGTAGTTATATTTGTGACCCCTGTCTATAGCCAAAACCAATTCAAAACCTACCTGTACATTGTAAAGGACCAGTTTGCCAGGACCCAGAAGCAAGACAATCAAGAGACGAATCCCCACCACTTTCCCTATATCCTGTTTTACAAGTATACGTTGCTATACTGGAGAAGGTCGTAGCCGGAACGTTTACAACAGCGTTAGTACCAGTTGGCGGGTCTCCACAATCTACAACTGCAAAATAAACTAGAACTGTTCAAATAACAGTACTGATGCAGGGCGTGTTACGTCATTCAGGTACATACGAAGATATTCTATTGCAATTACATTGATGTAAATACTTTTCTGCATCTCTAAATGCAAATATCCAAAAGTGCCTGGAGTTTAAAGTATTTTGACTAGGAATAAAAGAATGTTGATCAAGGATAAGAAAAAAGGAATTTGGTAATGCGCATGCGCACAACTTCGATATTTCCATCAAATATAGAATTGGGTTATAAACATACACACCAGGTTTGATGAAATTCGGATAAGAAATAAGAAAGTTGGTAATACGCATTCGCACAACAAAAATTCAAAATTTCCATCAAATTTAGAATTGGGTTATACACATGCATACCAAGTTTGGTGAAATTCGGATAAGAAATAAGCAAGTTGGTAATGCGCATGCGCACTAAGCAAATTCAATATTTCCATCAAATTTAGAATTGGATTATACACATACATACCAAGTTTGGTAAAGAAATAAGAAAGTTGGAAAATTAAGTGGGGGTATCACTTTAATGTGCTTCCATAAGCTCAACTTACAGTATAACACGGTTCAATCCATCTTAGAGCTTTTTTATATACCTTAACTGGACACAAAACATATTACAGAAATATAAAAGGGAGGGTATCTTTAAAACAACTTAAACTTTGATTTCTATTGGGGTTGACAGCCAGGTTAATCTAATTAGCCGAGTTATCTAATAATAGCCCCATGTTAAGTGAATGGGGTTTTGAATTTGCATGTAATGCATGCATGTTATATATCACTGGAAAGCTCAAGATCGCAGCATTATGAATCCGAAAGAATTATTGCCTCTACCTCTAATAGGGCACATGTTAGGACACTTTATAGATGCAGACTCCACTATCAGTGACACACATACAACCGGAACCACGTGTCGGACACAAAAAAATTAACATCATGTAAAAGCTGAAGTCAATAGTAATTATTAAAGTAAATATCAACGTCATCCGAGGCCAAGTTCCTTTGGTAGAAGCGTTCAAAGTTTTAAGGAAATTGCAACATTTCCTTTAATGTGACTTTGACACGATCAAATGCCATATAAACCGGAAGTACTAACATCGAAAGCGGAAGTGATAAAAAAAATTTGAAGGTGTGCTTTTATTCCACTATGCTGGCAGTCTACACCATGTGAGTTTCAAGTCAATCCACCAAATAACAACCGAAAGAGTATTTTCCGATCAAAAATTTTCAACTACTATCATTTGTCCTTTGTTACAAGAAATACGATGCAGAAAATCCGATCAAAATCGGTTGATAAACACGCCCTCTAGAGTTCATTTTCCGTTTGTTGCAACTTTGCGTAATGTTGCTCAGAAAATTTTCGTTTTACATTTATGCTGGGATTAGCCACGAGTTACGAAACGCCACTAAGTCCGTTTTCCCGTATCTGCCATTTCCGAGAAAACCGGCCTGCAATTACACAATTTTGACGATAGAATGGTGGCGAGTTTTGAATATACGACTTAAAATGGCAGAGCAACTGTATAAATAAATAATTTTTATTGCCAAAAAATATTGATCAGTGTCTAAGAACTATCAAATCCAAGCTGCAACCTTTTAGAAGGACTATATAACAGCCCAATCTACACGTCGAGTATACCAATTTACTTTTTTGATGGTGCCAATTAAACGTAGACCAATATTTGCACCTTTTCAGGAGGGTGTTGATAACAATAAGCTGCAACCTTTCAATAAACAGCTGACCTCACAAAAATAATTATATATGTATATCGAATTTGCTTAAAACCGTAGTTATATTTGTGACCCCTGTCTATAGCCAAAACCAATTCAAAACCTACCTGTACATTGTAAAGGACCAGTTTGCCAGGACCCAGAAGCAAGACAATCAAGAGACGAATCCCCACCACTTTCCCTATATCCTGTTTTACAAGTATACGTTGCTATACTGGAGAAGGTCGTAGCCGGAACGTTTACAACCGTATTAGTACCAGTTGGCGGGTCTCCACAATCTACAACTGCAAAAACAAATTACACCATTTTGACGATAAAATGGTGGCGAGTTTTGAATATAAATAAATAATTTTTATGGCCAAAAAATACTGATCAGTGTCTAAGAACTATCAAATCCAAGCTGCAACCTTTCAATAAACGTAAAAAAAACAGCTGGCCTCACAATTATATATGTATATCGAATTTGCTTAAAACCGTAGTTATATTTGTGGCCCCTGTCTATAGTCAAAGCCAATTCAAAACCTACCTGTACATTGTAAAGGACCAGTTTGCCAGGACCCAGAAGCCAGGCAATCAAGAGACGAATCCCCACCACTTTCCCTATATCCTGTTTGACAAGTATACGTTGCTGTACTTAAGAAAGTTGTAGAAGAAAATTTTACAGCAGAGTTAAGACTAGGTGGTGGGTCTCCACAATCTTTAGCTATAAAGTATAATGTAATGGATTGTAAAAAAGTTTTCTAAACTTCCTGAATGCATGAGACAAAGCAACGTTCTACATCATTCTAATTTTCAGCAAATTCCAGTAAAATTAAGCGTTCTATGAAAAATTTATTAAAACAGGACTTTAGATATTACTAGTAGCTTATGTTATAGTGACGTCTTGCGTTATAAATTGAATGCTGCAATGGGAGCAATAAATAGTTCCGAAAAAAAGGATATCGCTTTCGAAATGAACAGTCAACATTTTCTTTCAAAGTGAAAATAATTTGCATTTAATTAATTAATTAATACGTTCTCATGGAAGGTGAAGGTTTGGAGAATTGTTCATAAAAACCTTCGCAACAACTGTACTGGCTGAAAACTAAAAACCAGGCCATCGATAACAGATTTGCAATGCTTCATCACAAAGAGGAAAATGATAAATTTCGGGCCTTCGATCATTGGGAACAAATTGATAAAAAGTCTAACTCTGATCAGAATTCTAATAGAGTAGTAGTATTGAGGTTACGATTTCAAATACTCACGAGTACAGCTTATGGTAGGGTACGTCCATATTCCATCAGCACCACAAGAAGAAATGCCATTACCCTTTTGATCATAACCATCATCGCAGGAAAATGTACAAGTATCTTCATATAGCTCACCAGTACACTGGTCAAGTGCAGCATTAGAGAGAGGGAACGCGGTCACGGTTCCACAAAATATTTCACAAGAGGACTAAAATAGAAATGTATTTCGTGAAAGTTTTTTCGTCCATATTGTTTTCTAGCAGTAACCGGAACCGTGAAGGGACTAATATGAACATCTTATCATGCATCATAATTCAGAACATGAGAAAAAAAAAAAGAATGAAAAACCACTGCCATTCAGTATGTCAGCATGTAAAATATAAAAACAAAATCTTACGCCATCACAGCTTGGGGAACACAAAGTAACATTACAATCAAAAGCTAGGTTTGTACTACTAGACAAATGAAAAGCTACAAAATATGGACTTCTAAAAGTTGTACCAAGAGTTGTAAATCCTTCTGATCTATCAAATATCAATCCATCCCCACATCTGAAATTTCAATTTAGCTTTAGACATCATTCATATCTTGTCGCAAATTTACAAAAAGCCTAAAACCAACCGGTCAAAATTTGAGTGAGTGAGCACAATATGACAATCTGCAATTGTTTTCATCACAATAATAAACTTCACCCTTGCGAAAACCACAGCAATATCAATGTCGAAATTCATAAACTGTAGCCTGTAGAGTAAAAGAGATATCTTTTGACTAAACTAGGGCATCGCAGCGGTAAAAAACGTATGACATACCCGGCCCTTAGAACTGAATACCGGTCTCCACTGTCTGATACAGCATCACAACTCACTGGTTTCAAACCAACATTAGAAACTGAAATTAGAGTGATAATTTTAAGCAAATCTAAGCTTTTGGTCAAGAGCAATTACTCATCACCCTTCGTAATTAATGAAAATTAGTTCTTGCGACTTCCAGTAACTAGGTTTGATGTGACCAAATTACCTTCCACCAACCAAAAAACCTGATGGGGCAGTAAAAAATACTGCCTTGTTATAATACTGTACTGCTGAGGATATTGGGACGTTAAATTATCAAATACTTACGACTGCCCGTGTATGTACCATAAACAGAGTATCTACGATCGAGAGCCATCGGGACGACGGCGTCCTGATCATCAACAGTTTGGACGCTCAAAGTTAACTCTGACTTAGGAATTGTTTCACCAACAATAGATTGTATTTCGATTGGTGCTATTGGCCTGAAATAAAACATGTTCATAATGTCATGTGTCTCTAGGCTAAAATATGAGCCAAGATTAATAATGTTAGTTTTGTCGGTTCTCATTTCAATAAATTCTGAACACTGGATGCCTGTTATATAAATACATTCAACCATACTGTTAAAAATAGAACTTACATATTCATTAAATAATACCCACCCTTCTCTTATAGAATGTTGTGCACTGTCATCTTTACCATGATCGCCGAAATTACAAATGGCCGTAAGTATCTTTTGTTTGGTCAATATTAAACTACCCTGCTCTCCATAATGTATCTCCACGTCTACAACATAATGTTCAGAACTCTCTCGTCTCTAAAATATATTTTGATAGATATTAGGCATTTGAATATTCAGTATCCAATAAAACATGAAAATAACTATTTGATGTGGAAATTGTGCATTTCAACATTTCTAGTTGAAAGGGTTTCCAAATGTAAACATTTCCAGTTGTACAAGTTTTGAGTAAATTTTTGTGAAACTTTCTTACGTAGAGAAGGCAGCGACTGTCTCGGGCTGTAAAGGCTGCAGGAAGAGTATAGTGCACGGAATCGTCCGATACAAAATTCTTATCTCCACCTTGACATTTAGCTGCTGCTGTGATTTCAACGTCTGTCAGAATGCTGATGACTGGATCGTTGGCAGCTACATTGGCTCCACAATCTACAGAAACTGTAAAGAAAAACAGAACACACACACACACACAAGAATCAACCATTTATTCAAACTAAATACATAAATATTTAGTTGACGTCTGTTCAATAAAAAAAAAATTGTGGTTTCTGCACACCTCCATTTAATGATAATCCGATCAGATTGCACAAAGGTGTCCATGAAATACAAAACACAAAATGTTAGAATGGGAGTATATTACCTTCCAATATACTCTTTTTAGCAGGTGCGAGTGATAAACCCTTCACTCTAACCACACCAAGCTATAAAAGATGAATTGATATTATTTATTTTACAAACATTTTTAGCATCTTAAATCAAGCGAATAGAGATACGTTCGATAACATGTGAATTTATTTGCTATATTGCTCTGACTGAGCGAATTAAGGCATGCCAAGCAGTAGCGGGGTAATCCAATAATGCCCATTACACAAAATAGATGTCCAAAATTGGATGTTCATTGGAAAATCATCTTGTACACCACCTCTGACATTATGGTCAATATCTCTTATTAAGACTACTGTCAGTTATACACTCAGTGAGTTTCGGACTTAGTGTAGATTATTACTGGTCGAGAGAAAATCTTAAATAATTAAAAATAAACCTTTTCTCATTGCAAGCCTATAGGCTTCAACTGTTTAAATACTTACTAATAAAGAGAGCGCCAGCCAATACATCATTAATAGATGCAATCTGAAAAAGAAAATAGCTTTTAAGACAAGATAATGTACACCAACTGTCATTTTTGTTTAAATTAAGAATTGAGTAATTGAGTAAGTAAAGGCAGATGTGTCTGACTGTCTGATCACAATGTGGTGAGTATTGCAGTATTATTACTGAAAGTCTAAGATTGTTTTGAAGTGATAACAATGCCAAAATTAAAAGCATTTTTTTACAGAGAATGTTCAGTACAAAAATATGGGTCTTTTTCATGACCGGACTGGATTTAGAATTGAAATTTTTCTCTATTTCACAAATATTCAATTATCAACTGCATTCAAATTATCTTAGAATGACTTCGGGTTTATAGAAATATAAAGTTGGATTTGATTGAGCGAGTTTACATTTGAAATAAACAGACTTTTCGTCCACTTTTCAGCCTGGAAATCCCAATTAATATTTATTTCAATTGAAAAAATTATTCAATCTAATCTAGTAAATGTTACTTAGAATACTGGTAAAATGACCACGAGAGAGAGTAGAAATTTCAACCAGAATTTGGCTGAAAATTGTCCTCTGTCACAACAATTTCTGAATGTTAAAATATGTTAAAACTACAAGAGAGTGACTAACAATCAACCTAATATATACAGTATGACTTACCTTTCACTACTGATGGCTATATTCTGTCGCGACGGGTATTTATTTCATTTCACGCACGTGCAAAATAAGTCGTGCTCTATTTGATGTCACTGGTTTTGGTTAGTCCGAAATGGAAGACATTTCTTTGATACTGTATTTAAAGTTCATTCGAGTATGAAAACATAATGTAAAGAGCAGTATTGTAACTTGTACAGCAAGGTTTGATTTAGATCTATGGTAGAAAATGGATACGAAATTAAAAACCGGGTGAAAATATATTCTTGGTATGAGAGAAAAGCACATTGATGAATAGTCCGATCTATTCCAACCTATTATAGATACGATAGATAAATGCCTTGGTAACCGAGCATGCTAATGTTTATTCTGAAATTGTAATGTAGAGCTTACATATCATCTGATGGTCTTTCCATCTGTTAAAAATTGCTTATAAAGTACAATTCTGAACAAGTTTAAGTATATTCATATTTCTGATTTGAAACTAAGCTGCCAATGTACTCATTTTTCTTGCTGACATGTCATAACATAAATAAAACTAGCTATATTTATATGAAAAATGTTCTTTTATTTAGGTATACAGTTTACAAGGCTGTAGAAATCAGACCTATTCTTGTCAACGAGGTTTAAACTAAGATTTGTGTTTTAGTTGACCCATTACTAAGCTTACTTAGGTGTTAACCAGCATCCACGCCTTATATCTTACACTATTAAAATTTATTCGTTTGAAAGAAATATTCAATAACACCGATATCAGTGTTTACTATATCTACCCGAATCAAAGTGTAAACATTAACACTTTTAAAAGTGTATAATTTTGGAGAAAGTGTAAGCACCGAAATTGGTGTTAATTCACATAATTTACACGTTAAGAAGTGTATAAGGTTACACTGAGTATGTGTAAAACAAGTGTATACACTCAACACCTACATCAACAACCGTGCAAACAGTAACACTTAACAAAGTGTATTCAGAGTTTACACCTCTTCGTGTTAACAAATAATACATCCATATTAGTGTAAGGATATGCAAAATATAGTGCAAACTTGCACCAACATTGTGTAATAATTCAACACTAAACGTGGTGTAAGATCACACCATCTTGGGTGGCAACTTAGTTATTCATTTAAAAAGGTGTAAACTCTTTCATTTTTTGGTACTGTGTAGCCTAAAGAACCTCTGTAATAGTGTCGTCAAAAAACGCAAAGATAAGACGTACATTTGAAAATTGGAATGATGCAAATCGATGCAAACAGTTTCAATTTATAAATAATAATAATAAAAGTAATATATGTATTTATCAAGCGCTGAAATCCACTCTACATGGGGAGTTAAATACCTCCATTTCGGATTGCATTTTCTGAAAAGTCTTTACGTATCACGAACTGATAGAAAATTAAGCGTGTTGTGCGCTCATGGATGCTGTACAGATCACCGTGATATTTGCACCGGTGGGGATGATAACACTGTGATATCTGTACCAAAGGCAATGATAACACCGTGATATCTGTACCAAAGGCAATGATAACACTGTGATATCTGTACCAAAGGCAATGATAACACTGTGATATCTGTACCAAAGGCAATGATAACACTGTGATATCTGTACCAAAGGCGATGATAACACCGTGATATCTGTACCAAAGGCAATGATAACACTGTGATATCTGTACCAAAGGCAATGATAACACCGTGATATCTGTACCAAAGGCAATGATAACACTGTGATATCTGTACCAAAGGCAATGATAACACTGTGATATCTGTACCAAAGGCAATGATAACACTGTGATATCTGTACCAAAGGCAATGATAACACTGTGATATCTGTACCAAAGGCAATGATAACATCGTGATATCTGTACCGGAGGGGATGGTAACACTGTGATGTCTTTACCGGATGCGATGATAACACCGTGATATCTGTGCCGAATGGGGTTGCAACACTGTGATATCTGTACCGGAAGGGATGGTAAAACTGTGTTATCTCTAATGGAGCTGATGATGACACCGTGATATCTCTACCGGAGAGAATGATAACACTGTGATATCTGTACCAGAGGCAATGATAACCCAGTAATATGTGTACCGGGGGCCATGATAACACCGTGATATCTCTTCCAGGGGGGATGATAACCGCTTGATATCTGTACCGGGGGGATGGTAACACTGTGATATCTCTACCGGAGGCGATGATAACCGCTTGATATCTGTACCGGAGGGGATGATAACACCGTGGTATCTGTACCGGAGGCAATGATAACACCGTGATATCTATACCGGAGGCGATGATAACCGCTTGATTTGTATCGGAGGCGATGATAACACCGTGATATCTGTACCGGAGGGAATGGTAACACTGTGATATCTGTACCGGAGGCAATGATAAGCGCTTGATCTGTATCGAAGGCGATTATAACACCGTGATATTTGTACCAGAGGCAATGATAACATCGTGATATTTGTACTTTTGGATACGTTGAAAGGCACATTTCGGTAGATTTTGGTGTATAGTTTACACAAATTTTGTTATCGACCTACACAAAAAGCGGAATGTTCCTTTAAATAAAGCATTTATTGTTATCCATTTAATGTTGTGATTAGTCCACACTTTATTTGTCTTTACAGTAACCATTAATTTTACTATCACCACTACCATTAAATTGACTGAACTTTATTTTACTCTTGCTCTCTGTTGACATCAACCATGGCTCTTCTTCACTAAACTCATGTTTTAATCCACTGTCGAAATACTGGGCTATCCAAGCGTAGAGTTTGCCAAAAGCCGGTATGATAATGAGTTGATGGGAGACTCCGCACATTCTATAGTATTGTCCTCGAAAAGGATCTGATATGGCTGGACATAACATACTATTCAAATTCACATAGGATAGCTGAAAAAAACAATCACTTCAGATTACATGCGTTTGTAAGGTTATTTCCCACATTGCTCCTTCCCAATCTGCTATAATTTGTAAAGGAGGGTATAACAAATAAATACACGTAAAGATACTTACAAGAGCTATAATTTGTAAAGGACGGTATAATAAATTAATCCAGGTTAATACTTACAAGATCTATAATTTGTAAAGGACGGTATGATAATTAAAAACAGGTAAATACTTACAAGAGCTATAATTTGTAAAGGACGGTATGATAATTAAATCCATGTTAATACTTACAAGAGCTATAATTTGTAAATGACGGTATGATAATTAAATACATGTAAATACTTATAAGATCTGTAATTTGTAAAGGACGGTATAACAAATAAATACATGTTAATACTTACAAGAGCTATAATTTGTAAAGGACGGTATGATAATTAAATACATGTAAATACTTATAAGATCTATAATTTGTAAAGGACGGTATGATAATTAAATACATTTTAATACTTACAAGAGCTATAATTTGTAAAGGACGGTATGATAATTAAATACATGTAAATACTTATAAGATCTATAATTTGTAAAGGACGGTATGATAATCAAATACATTGTAATACTTACAAGAGCTATAATTTGTAAAGGACGGTATGATAATTAAATACATGTAAATACTTACAAGAGCTATAATTTGTAAAGGACGGTATGATAATTAAATACATGTAAATACTTATAAGATCTATAATTTGTAAAGGACGGTATGATAATTAAATACATGTTAATACTTACAAGAGCTATAATTTGTAAAGGATTGTATAATAAATAAATACATGTAAATACTTACAAGAGCTATAATTTGTAAAGGACGGTATGATAATTAACTACATGTAAATACTTATAAGATCTATAATTTGTAAAGGACGGTATGATAATTAAATACATGTTAATACTTACAAGAGCTATAATTTGTTAAGGACGGTATGATAATTAAATACATGTAAATACTTACAAGAGCTATAATTTGTAAAGGACGGTATGATAATTAAATACATGTAAATACTTATAAGATCTATAATTTGTAAAGGACGGTATGATAATTAAATACATGTTAATACTTACAAGAGCTATAATTTGTAAAGGATTGTATAATAAATAAATACATGTAAATACTTACAAGAGCTATAATTTGTAAAGGACGGTATAATAAATAAATATACGTAAATACTTACGAGAGCTATAACTGGTTAAGGACGATATAATAAATAAGTACATGTAAAGATACTTACAAGAGCTATAACTGGTAAAGGACGATATAATAAATAAATACATGTAAAGATACTTACAAGTTGGTGGAGAAGGTAAACAATACTTACAAGAGCTATAATTTGTAAGGGAAGGAAATGGTATGCTATTAAATATGCAAAGGCTACCATAGACCAGCTAAAATCACCAAGCTGTTCAGGAATGTACACTCCTGATAAAAAGAAATAAACAAAATACATAAATTACATCAATACAGGTATTGTAAGCTGTTTGTTCAACATAGACCACTGTGATTGAATAAATCATAAACTAATAACTGAGTTTTACATACATAAAAATCCATTTGTTAAAAAATACAATTATTCATTTTAACATCGATTAAACTTAAATAACCATGTTGACTAATGGTATGGGCACACAAACAGTTGTTTTCACCAATGTTTGTTGAGCAGCAGTGACAAGATTATCCGTTGCCTACAGGATTTATGTTATCAAACCAGTTTGATATTCGTTGTCGGTTTTGACTGCACTTACTACAGGATAAGACTCTATAGAGTATCATCATCCCTTCAGATTCATTTTTCACTTCAATCGCATGATCGTCCTGTGATTATCGACCTAGGGAAAATGATCGACTGAAGATTGTTTGTCTCCTCGTGTGCCAGCAACCATTTGATGAAAGTCTTGACAAGACTCTAATCGGTGGCGAAAAAATTCCGTGTGCCCTCACCATAAACAGTGTTTCAATAAACTAAGCGATAATACAAATTTCACACAAGTTGTAACAAGTAACCAACACATCGAGATGTAGACATATAAGAAGTTATTTCAAGTAATTACTAACCTTTCATTCTCATCAAATAAAATGGTATGATTAACATTAATGTATGTTTTATAAAATATGTCTCAGCTTCAAACGCCAACTACAACACATTTCATAAATTACATAAAAAAAAAATAACCAAAATCAATACAGCGATTCATATTTTGTCATTCTATAAGGACAGAAAATAACACAATGTATTTGAAAACAAAGAAGACAAGGCCCTAGAGCAATCCACGTTGCACAGAGGTAGAGAGGGTATGGGTAGATTTGAAATATATTATAATTGAGAACAAGGACACTTTCAAGGTTTGTGCATCATTTCAAATGTAAGGCATTTGTCTCTTATGAATTATATGTGGTTTGCATAATTAGAATGTACTCAATTTTCTCTCTTTAACGATATGTGAGATGGGTGGTTTGATATACAAATTCAAATCATTAAATTTAGATAAATTTTCAAAAAATCTAAATTTTCTTGTTATATCTCTGAATAATATAATCCTTAGTGTGAAGTTGATTGACAGATTTAACCGTGTTATACAATATTGTTAACAGATCTGTTGGTATAAAAGGACAGACATGCCATTTTTTTTGACCAAACTTTTAGCTTAGATAAACAAATCAGTTATAATCTTCACAGCTCACCGTCGAAATTTGAGCCTACAAATACAAATACAAATGTGTGTCCAGAAAGCGTTTGAATATTAAAATGACAACTAGTAATTTTAAGATATTATGTGATATATAGAAAAAGACATTATAGAAATATTGAGTAAAATTCCCAGTTTTAAGTATTTTTAAAGAATTTTGCGATTTCTAGTGCTTCTGAAGACTACTATTCAAGATTCAAATCAACTCCTCAAAATGGTACCCATCCCTTGAAACTTATCATACCTCACCAGTGAGCCAGAGAACAAATTAATCTCATAATGTAATTTTTTAACTCTCAAAAAATTTATTTTGTGCAAATTTAAAAAAAGAAATACCCCCATTTAAAGCTGTGAATTCGCAAAATATCAAACCGTTGGAAATTTTGTCCATCTTAATTAGAACTCAATTTACAAAATAATACTTCTACGTGTTTCTACAGGAGAGTGTCTCTTATAAACTTAAACTAGCAGACCATGTAAATTGCAGAGTACACTTCCTTTGAACAAAATTTGGAAACCCTTCAATTTAAAGACTGTCAGTGGCTCATCTAGGTTAGTGGGGACCATTCCTCGGAAACTTAGAATAATATGCTCTCTTGCATTCTGAGACTTCTCTGTAAGTCAAATCAATGAATGTTAATGGAAGATTTAAATATCCGCAGTATATATGAATACCAGACAAATTTTGTGAGAGAAGTCGTCGACAACGACAAAAGTTATATGATCAAATTCCTATCACGGGTGAATAATTGTGGGCTCAAATGCACCGGGGTTGAAAGCTAACAGGCTAACAGAAATTTCAAAAGTTTCGAAATCCATGAGATAAGGTCTCGTTGCTACGCTCGGGGCTGTGCACAGTTCTGTTTATTAAATTTATACAAATATAATGATATACCATCCATGTCACAAATCGTTAAAAAAGAATTACAAATGCATTCTAATAATGCAAATCCCATTGGTGTGGGAAAAATACATTTGATGTTAGGATTGGATTTCAATTCTTTTTCAAAATATGTTTAGGCATTAGGTATATCATTACAAAGAGAATTTCAAGGCCATTAATAATCTGAAAAAATTAAGCCGCTGTGTTTATAAGAGAATGTGGCATAGCTGTCCAAAGCTGCAAAAATGTCCTATGTAGGTCGGCTATAAATCCAAAGGTTTATGTTTTTCATCCAATAACAGCATATCAATAGATAGCTGAGGTCAAGGACTATCTACACTGATTAATCCAAGGTAAATAAATAACTCGATTTGCCACGCAATAAGCATACCAATCTAGTATTGGTAACAGGAAAGAAAAGAGCCATAGGTGCACCAGTTAACATATGAATATGAAGTCGAAATATACCAGTTACATGTTTACTTGGTGGAGCTGCTAATAAATAAATCTGAAAGACGAAATGTTAGATGAAGAGAGTTTTGTGTTTTCTTTTCTGCAACAGTTTGGGCTATAACAAACCGAGGGGAATTTCGCGAGAATAGCAGCATTATTGACTCTTTTTTCGATTTTCAACTTTCAAGGGATATTTAACGTGCACTCACTGGGCCTCTGTTTGTTGTCACAATAAGATCCTGAAAGAGAAAACCATTGTTTTTCAGGTTAGCGAGCAAGTGTCCAAATCACTGAGGCACAGAAAGAGTATAAAGCAATGAAGTTATCATACAATGGTCTGAGACACAGATACAAAATAATCTGCATTTCAGATAAAAAATAAAACACTCAATGGCTTAAGAATAAAATTTGCTCCACTTTGAGAAATTTGGTACTCCAATTTAGTGAGGTTACTAAACTAAATGACTTTGAACATGCTTTGATATTCTACTTATGGAATACTTAGCTCATAATCGGGATGAAACTTAACTAACTGGCTTTAAGCACGATTAAATATACTACTGGAAATACTTAGCTTATAATCGGAATGAATCAGAATAGTTACCTGAATAATAGTGACCAAGTGGCATGGATTAATGATCCAGATCATCTGTTGAGTAGCAAACTTAAATCCTAATTCAATTCCAAACGTTACACACATTACCACCAACATAACCCGTTTTCCCCAGTAGTTCATTTCACGATCCAGAGCATCTTTACCAACAAGTGGAACTTTTAAATTGGGGTAAAACTTCCATATTAAATACACAGCTAATAATAATGATAATATACTTTCTATAATTCTTTGAGTTAAAGGAAGAAACTCTGAACATTCCTTCCTTCCATTTCCTGGTAAATCAAAATTCACACCAGAAAGAATAAAGTCAAATCTCTCAGTGAATGTTTTATTTTTAGATGTTAAAATATCCATCATTTTGGTGTCAACTTGTAATAGAATATAGTCCCAAATATATATATATATACAATATACTCTAATTTTTTGAATATTTATAATAGTTCAATGATGCATTGCAAACTGCAGTTGTGTAACAGGCTGCAATCAGTCAGTAGGATGAAGATCGCAAAGCGTGAGAATCTGAGTAAAACATGTTTCAGAGTATTTTTTAATATTTCTATAATGATCTACAACTAATTTATTTAGCACTATTTAAACGTTAATAATATTTTATGGTGATAGTTCAATGCTATACAGGGTTTGTCGGTTTTGACCACATAAAGACCATTGGTCAAAACGGTTTTTGTGCATAATCTGACTTGTTATTCAACAAAATAAGAGGTTTTCATTTGCAGCAAGTACCTTAACCAATTAGGCCCTTATCGATCAATGCGTAATACACTGCCTTGTGGGTGGTAGATAGGAAGGCCTAGAAGACATCAACACATGAGTAATATAGTGTTTTTCTGATATGGTTTAATTATGGCGTTTTGTCTACCTGGAATTTGAGAGTGATATATTGCCATTAAGCAATGCTACTGGGGTTAGACTGATTTGTAAGCTCAATTTTTCTCACCTAAACAGTCTCTTGTTTTGGATAAAGCTTGTAAAACTTATACTATTATTCCATTATACACCCCAAGTAATAGAATAGGCATATTTGAATGAGTCTGTCTGTTAGCTGATAGTAGTAGACAACAATATCTAGTCATAAAGATGTTGTTAGCTGATAGTAGTAGATAACAATACATAGTCATAAAGATGGTGTTAGCTGATAGTAGTAGATAACAATACATAGTCATAAAGATGTTGTTAACTGATAGTAGTAGATAACAATACCTAGTCATAAAGATGTTGTTAGCTGGTAGTAGTAGATAACAATACCTAGTCACACAGGTGTTGTTAGCTGATAGTAGTAAATAACAATACCTAGTCATAAAGATGTTGTTAGCTGATAGTAGTAGATAACAATACCTAGTCATAAAGATGTTGTTAGCTGATAGTAGTAGATAACAATACCAAGTCACAAAGGTGTTGTTAGCTGATAGTAGTAAATAACAATATCTAGTCATAAAGATGTTGTTAGCTGATAGTAGCGTAGATAACAATATATAATCATAAAGATGTTGTTAGCTGATAGTAGTAGATAACAATACCTAGTCATAAAGATATTGTTAACTAATAGTAGTAGATAACAATGATGTTATTAGCTGATAGTAGTTGATAACAATGTCTAGTCATAAAGATGTTGTTAGCTGATAGTAGTAGATAACAATACCTAGTCATAAAGATGTTGTTAGCTGATAGTAGTGTAGATAACAATATCTAATTATAAAGATGTTGTTAGCTGATAGTAGTAGATAACAATACCTAGTTATAAAGATGTTGTTAGCTGATAGTAGTAGATAACAATATCTAGTTATAAAGATGTTGTTAGCTAATAGTAGTAGATAACAATACCTAGTTATAAAGATGTTGTTAGCTGATAATAGTTGATAACAATATCTAGTTATTAAGATGTTGTTAGCTGATAGTAGTAGATAACAATATCTAGTTATAAAGATGTTGTTAGCTGATAATAGTTGATAACAATACCTAGTTATAAAGATGTTGTTAGCTGATAATAGTTGATAACAATATCTAGTTATAAAGATGTTGTTAGCTGATAGTAGTAGATAACAATACCTAGTTATAAAGATGTTGTTAGCTGATAATAGTTGATAAAATTATCTAGTCATAAAGATGTTGTTAGCTGATGGTAGTAGATAACAATACCTAGTTATAAAGATGTTGTTAGCTGATAATAGTTGATAAAATTATCTAGTCATAAAGATGTTGTTAGCTGATGGTAGTAGATAACAATATCTAGTCATAAAGATGCTGTTAGCTGATAGTAGTGTAGATGACAATATCTAACCATAAAGATGTTGTTAGCTGATAGTAGTAGATAACAATGCCTAGTCATAAAGATGTTGTTAGCTGATAGTAGTAGATAACAATACCTAGCTATAAAGATGTTGTTAGCTGATAGTAGTAGATAACAATACCTAGCCATAAAGGTGTTGTTAGCTGATAGTAGTAGATAACAATACCTAGTCATAATGATGTTGTTAGCTGATAGTAGTAGATAACAATACCTAGTCATAAAGATGTTGTTAGCTGACAGTAGTAGATAACAATATCTAGTCATAAATATGTTGTTAGCTGATAGTAGTAGATAACAATACATAGTTATAAAGATGTTGTTAGCTGATAGTAGTAGATAACAATACCTAGTTATAAAGATGTTGTTAACTGATAGTAGTAGATAACAATACCTAGTTATAAAGATGTTGTTAACTGATAGTAGTAAATAACAATATCTAGTTATAAAGATGTTGTTAACTGATAGTAGTAGATAACAATACCTAGTCATAAAGATGTTGTTAGCTGATAGTAGTAGATAACAATACCTAGTCATAAAGATGTTGTTAGCTGATAGTAGTAGATAACAATACCTAGTTATAAAGATGTTGTTAGCTGATAGTAGTAGATAACAACACCTAGTCATAAAGATGTTGTTAGCTGATCGTAGTAAATAACAATATCTAGTCATAAAGATGTTGTTAACTGATAGTAGTAGATAACAATACCTAGTTATAAAGATGTTGTTAGCTGATAGTAGTTGATAACAATACCTAGTCATAAAGATATTGTTAGCTGATAGTAGTAGATAACAATGCCTAGTCATAAAGATGTTGTTAGATGATAGTAGTTTATAACAATACCTAGTTATAAAGATATTGTTAGCTGATAGTAGTAGATAACAATATCTAGTTATAAAGATGTTGTTAACTGATAGTAGTAGATAACAATACTTAGTTATAAAGATGTTGTTAACTGATAGTAGTAGATAACAATACTTAGTTATAAAGATGCTGTTAGCTGATAGTAGTAGATAACAATATCTAGTTATAAAGATGTTGTTAGCTGATAGTAGTAGATAACAATACATAGTCATAAAGTTGTTGTTAGATGATAGTAGTAGATAACAATACCTAGTCATAAAGATGTTGTTAGCTGATAGTAGTAGATAACAATATCTAGTTATAAAGATGTTGTTAGCTGATAGTAGTAGATAACAATACCTAGTTATAAAGATGTTGTTAGCTGATAGTAGTAGATAACAATACCTAGTTATAAAGATGTTGTTAGATGATAGTAGTAGATAACA